GAATTTTCCTCAAGTTGCAGATTTGTGGACTCCGCTATATAAAAATGATAACTGCTTGAAATGATAACTAAGGACAAACCACAAAATTTTTGTTGGTACATGATATAGGTGGTCCACCAGAAGAAAAAATTGGCCTTGTGGTGGCAAATCAGCGCTGTCAAACTTATCTTCTGAAATGAAGGCTGCATAATTTTAAGGAATCCTAAATTCAGTAATTAGTTGATTCATCCTTTTGGTGAAGGTATATTGAAGTTTGCTCTCAATGGAGTCGTCGCATGGTTGTAGAGTGGTGGTGCCGATTGACTTGAAGAAGAAACCACGGGAACAGAAACCCCCTCTTCACGATCGATGGCATCCCGACATACCTCCAGTTGCGGAGGTTAGAACTGGAGAGGTATTCAGGGTAGAGATGGTGGATTCCAGTGGTGGCGGCATAACAAAAGAGTACACTGCTGAATACTTGAAGTATGCAGATCCCACTATTGTGAGTTTCCTCACATTTTTGCTTTCATATTTTAACTATATTTTATATAATTTTTTAAAAATTTGGTCACGTGTTGAGAAAAAAAACCTCTGTTTAAGAGTACAATTCCCAGCAACAAAAAAATCACTTAGGACATGTTCTCTTTACCGTTTTCAAATCGTTTTCTGTTTTCGATTTTTTAAAATAATGAAAATGCGTTATCTTTCCTATTTTCGAAAATGCATTTTTGAAAACAAGTAAAAAATTTATAAAGAAAATCAAAAAAAAAAAAAAAATTAGTCGTTTTGGGTGTTTTCAGTTATAGTCAAACCAAAATTTTTAAAAAGCGTTTTGAATGTTTTCAGTTTAACATCACCCCAACCACCACCAACGTTGCCGGCACCACACTGTCGTCGCCGCCGTCACAACGACCACCATCGCCGCCTATACCACATCACTACAAAAACCATCGTTGATGTCGATGCCGCTGCCACAACATCACCCAACCACCACCACCGCGGCCTGCACCACACCACCACCACACAATCGCCAAATCCACCACCACGGCCACCGCAACAGCACGCACACCACCGCCACCGCTACACCACACCACCGATCCACTGCCACACCACCGCCACAGCCATAACCTGCACCATACCACCGTCGCACACTACGCACCCAAAACCACCACACACCACTGGCACCGCCACAACCACAACCAACCACCGCTGTAGTAAAAAGAGAGAGAGAGAGAGAGAGAGAGAGACGAAGTAGCCGGCAATTGTAGCCACAACCAACCACCGTCGCACACCACACATTGATCGCAGCCACCGTCGCTGCTTGTCGACAAAGAGGAGGGGAGGAAGAGAGAGAGACTACTGAGAGAGGGAAAGGAGAAAGTGAGACGAGAGAGAGGGGAAGAAAGAGAACGGGTTTTTCAATTTTTAATTTTTGAAAACAATTTTTCAAAATGCCAAAAAGAACACATTTTCAACAATCTCAAAATGGACACTCAAAACACAAAATCCAAAATAAATTCAAATATGAACGGGTTCTTCCTATATGAACGCTTGAAGTTTTCTGCATGGATAGCTACTTCACACATAATATATTCAGCAGCAGTTATGGTGAGAATTTAGAACTTCCAAATTGCATCCGAGTTTCCTGATTTTACCAATTAATCTTCGGGACTTTGGAAACTATTGTTTTTATTTGTGTCCTTGTGAAACTCTTATCACGTTGAAGTGCCATGGTGGGTGATAGAGAGAAAATGAATTCCAGTTGAACATATCAATGTTATTAAGTAAATGCATAATGCAGCAGTTGAGTCACAAATGTGAGTGGGAGTTGTAGTTGCCGTAGTTGTAGTTCTCTATCCTAAAGGAAAAAATCAAGGGTTTAATTTTTTAACACTATTCGTGAGATGAGGTCACTTTGTTTGGTGTGTGCTATTCACTGATGACATAATTTTAGTTGGTGAAACAAAATAGGGTTTGAGTCTTAAATTAGAACTTTGGAGGAGTTCTTGAAATCTGAAGGTTGTATGTCAAGTAGCACCTATGAAGCACGGACAAGCTACCATAGCTGAGAAGTCTATGCTCGAAATGTATCAGATACTGACACAATTCAACACATGGTTGACATGTGTCGAAAATGCCAGGTTGTGTGAACACATCTATCACAAAAAATCAGAAAGTCAAAAAATAAAGAAAAAGGATTAATCAAAAATGCATGAAATCTGAATTGGGATGAAGTTGTCTCTAAGCGGCATAAGTTCTATTGTTGATCTTTTTTCTAGAGGTCAGGTATACAGGGGCGGACGCAGAACTTTAACTTTGGGGGGCACAATCGAACTTGTAAAGAAGTTGGTAGAATTTTTACAATCGAAAATTTACGTCCAAAAAAATCATACTCCATGTAATTTTACATCTAAAAATTTACATGAGATATGACTTTTTCGGATGTAAAATTTCGAAATTTTTTGAAAATTTCCTAATAAAATGATGAAAATT